GGGAGAGGATGAAGAGAACTATGGATGAATAGTTGGTCAGATCATTTTTTCGTTTTTTTTTCCTTGCTAGTGGTCAAAACGTTTCGGTTCCCAAGCTCCGTAAAGTTTTATGGGTGTGATAGAGAATCGTTCTTCTTTCAGCATTTTCAGCTTTTGGTTTTTTTGAATTGTACTATTTCAGTGAATATGCCCATACTTGTGACGGGCCGGCCCGGAAAATTTCCGCGAATTTTGAAAAATCGAAAAAATATTTCCAAATTTCCTGCTCCAGGGATCAAATATGCTATATCCTAATAAGTAATCACATAACTTTTGAAAAAAAAATCCGTAGTCCTCTTCTCCTGCGCTATCACAAGATTCCATTTAGCGTGCTAACTAACTTCATGGTTGACCGATTTTGTTGAAGCTTATCACTTTTCCTTAGGGTGTCTAGTGAAATTCGAAGGGGATAATAAAGCTTTGTTATTCAGCTAGAGTGATAGATAGCCTGGAATTATTATTAATTTTTATTTTCAGTTTTTTCGAGTGAAATATTTTTCCTATACACACCTATCTAGCGTAAAAGCGATACACCCGGTTCTGTATGTTCAGTGCAGTATATCTCGGTTGCCTTTAAAGCTATCAAAAAGTAGTCAACTAAAGAAATGTTAAGCAAAATATTGTAAACATTGCACTAGTTGACGACTTTTCGATAGCTTTAACTACAACCGAGATATGCTGCTTTGAACATACAGTACTGGGTGAGCACATATAAATTATCAATTGCATACGAAAATTTGTAAATATTTTCTTTTGTTAGAAAAATATGCAATTTCAGAGGAAAAAAAAATCCAGCTGACTGAAAAATTCAAGCTTGCATGCAACTGCATGTAACAGGGAACCTATAATTTTCAAGCCAAAATTTTGAGGCAACGGATTGCAGCACAAAAAAATAACAATTCTCTAAAAAATTCAACAAAAAACTAATTTCAATACTAAAGTTTTTAATAAAAATTGTTATGCTCTTTGTAACAATGGAAAGCTCAATAAAAAAAACTTGTTTTGGCAGCATTCCTCATATAAGTGGTCAATTTCTCCTTCTATAACAGTGAAAGCAGCATATCTCAGTTATTTTCGAAGCTATCAAAAAGTAATCAACTAATGAAATACTAAGCTAAACATTTTAAACATTTTATTAGTTGTAAATTTTTTGATAGCTTTAAAGATAACCGAGATATGCTGGTCTGAACATAAAACATCAAGTAGTATATGGTTCATTCAGTACTGGATGTTCAAAGCAGTATATCTCGGTTGCTCTTGAAGCTATGGAAAAGTGATCAACTAAAGAAATATTTACCATAACGTTCTAAACATTTTACTAGTTGACTACTTTTTGATAGCGCTAAAGACAACCGAGATTTACTGCTCTGAAAATACAGTACTGAGTGTACTTTATGGCAACCTGTGTTCAACCATTTTTCTACAATTTCTCCGTTTTTTCCCTGTTCCAAACATCCTAATCATTAGTTTTCCGTAACATACTTCAACCTCTTTGTCCCCCTTCCCTCCCACCTCCATTTTTATATTAATAACTGTTTTCCAGCTAATTAAACAAAACTCGCCCAGTCCCCCTCCCCTCTCGGGGCTCTCTAGACACTTCTATACACATTTGGATACATTTATTTCTGGTTTTATACAAATTTTTTGAAAATTTTTTCGAAAAAGGAAAAGCAAAAATTCTACAAAAAATGCGTGTCAACTACTACATCATGGTGTTCTGCTTGGTTTTTGGTGAGTTTCTATAGGTAAAGAGCAGCATATCTCGATTGTTTTCATAGCTATCAAAAAGTAATTAACTAGTAAAGTGTTCAAAATGTTTTGCTCAACATTTCTTCAGTTGACCACTTTTTGATAGCTCAAAAGGCAACCGAGATATACTGCACGGAAGGTACAGTATTAGATGCAACATGTAGAACTGGGGTGTATTATGTTCAGAGCAGTATATCTCGGTTGTTTTTGTAGCTATCAAAAAGTGGTCAGATAGTAAAATGTTTAAATTGCTTTGCTCAACATTTCTTTAGGTGACAACTTTTTGATAGCTTCAAAGGCAACTGAGTTATACTGCTCTGAACATACAGTGTGCCTAGTCTACAGGAATTACGGTAGCTTCCTTTCGAGAAACAAGGTCTCGACACGAAAAGCACGGTGAATTTTTTTGTACGCGTTTTCGAAAGGGTTGTTTCGCGGGCTCTGTCTTACTGTAGGGTCGCATACCAACTGCGTGGCGACTCAGCGATACGTAGGCATTTTTCTCATTTTGTTGAAAAACTAAAAATCAGGGCCTAAGCTTTTTTGAAGCAAACTGAATAGAACGTTTTCTTCGCATCATGTTGAATATAATATTGACAGAATTTGATCAAAATTTATCACTGAAAAGTGCTCTGGAAACATGGTGCGCGCTCCTTCGGCTTAAGCGCGGCTTACTGTCACATTTTAAAGACGCAATATGAAATTTGTAAAAGTCCGTGTGAGATGGAGCGTAGAAACCGAGATGAAAATTGTTCGTTCAAAAAAATTCACCGTGGAAAAGTGGCTTGAATCAAAATTCGTGTCGACTTCAGAAAAATGTCCCTAGCTACCTAATATACCCCTACAACGAAAAATTCCCTGCCATACCTTCCAATGATTTCAGGCATCTTCGCCAACATCTATGTAATCGTCAAGCTCAACATTGGGTTCAGTATTTTTGAACTATTCCAAAAAATCCAAGAAGCCAAACAAACCCCAAAGTGTGAAATCGATGTTGACAACTTGCTGAATTTCATTGAGAATCGGCACTTTTTGGAGTTACAGGAGAAGGTAAGGATTTGGGATTAGGGTCCATAATCACGGTTGATCTTCAGGAATTGAAGGAGTTAGGCACCACTTATGACAATCCAGATGGAAGAACAGTTCAGACTATGATGTTTGCGATTTCAGCTGGATTGGGTAGGTCTCTGGGGTTTCAGTTTGAGGAGAGCTCAGGAAATACATGATGCTGTCACAAAAAATCCTGTAATTTAGGTAAACTGTATGTTCATAGAAGTATATCTCGGTTGCCATTGAAGCTATCAAAAAGTGGCCAGATAAAAAAATGTTAATCAAAGCATTTTGAACATTTCCTTAGTCGACAACTTTTTGATAGCTTTGAAGGAAACTGAGATATGCTGCTCGGAACATATAGTGCGTTTAAATAACAGGATTTACGGTTCATTGGGTCAAAATTTGACAAACCTCGACCACAGTGAATTTTTTTGTACGTGTTTTCAGAAGGTTTCATTCGCTCTGTCTCACTGTAGTGTCGCATGCCAACTGCGTGGCGACTCAGCGATACGTAGGCATTTTTCTCATTTTGTGGAAAACTTAAAAATCAGGGCCTAAGCTTTTTTTGAATCAAATTGAATATAAATGTTTTTTCGCATCATGTTGAATATAATATTGACAGAATTTGATCGAAATTTATTACTGAAAAGTGCTCTGCAAACATGGGGCGCGTTCCTTCGACTCAAGCGCGGCTTACTTTGAAGACGCAATATGAAATTTATAAAAGTCCGTGTAAGATGGGGCGTAGAATCCGAGAAAAAATTGTTCGTACAAAAAAATTTACCGTGATCCGTCCCGCGCCGTCATAAACATGCCAAAAGCACCGCCCTCAACGCCCCCAAATTACAGGAAACAAGCTATTCGAAGTCATCTCCCTCCTTGGAATCGCAGAAACCCTTCAGAGAAATCCTGTGATGAACGCCACCAATGCTGAGTACATACGAGTGCTGTCACAAAGTCTACAACCAGTTTTCCCGAAACTAGTGGAGCAATTTGATCTGAGAATCATTCCGGTAAGTTTTGGCGGCGATTTGAATTTTTTTTTAATCGAAGGGCGGCTTGGTTTTTAGAGTAAATGCTCACATTCGGGCTCAGATCCAGCCAACAAAAAACTGACCGATTTCAGTACCCCTCTGTCACCCATCAACAGACCAACTGGGGTGCATGTTGCCGGTTTGATGACCCGAGGAAGTTCATAAATAGGACTGAGCAACATTTGATGCTGGATGGACACTACTTTCAGGTAACCTCTTCATAATTTCCGACGCGTTCATGCAGCTCAGCAAGTGTGCTCTAATGCAAAAATATGATTTTTCTGAAGGGAACTCAAATTTTTCGGTGGAGCGAACTTGCTTTTCTTTTTTTCATAAACCCGTATTCCGATTTTTCAGAGCTACAAATACTTCGACCACATTCGACCACAAGTACGGCAATGGCTGGCACCAAGTAAGCTGACAGCTGTTAGAGCCGAGATATTGTTGCCGGCAAAGTTCAGGAATGATTTTATGTGAGTAGTGATCCTAGCCAGGTTGTGCGGTAAAAAAGTTTCGAAAAATTTCGAAACAATTTTATTTGAAATTTTTTTGGGATTTTTTTGGATTTTTTTTTTGAATTTTTTTTCGGAAAAAATCAGCAAAAAATTACCGATTTTCTAAAAATTCAAATTTATTCGATGAAAAACGGATAAAAATCCAGTGTTAATCTTGGAAACAAAACAAAAAAAAATAATTTTTTTGAATTTTGTCCACGCAGACTACAATAGCGGTGTTTTCTAGACCATCATTTTGCGCGGTAATTAGAATAAATAATGGTTTTTTTTCATAGTTTGTCGGGTTTTCCCATGATTTTTCGGCGAAATATACACAGAATATCGGAAAATGACCGAAAACCCGCAAAAAATAAATATTTGGATAGCAAATATTTTTTAGTCCGTAAATTTTCTGGAAATTGGCAAAATACGAATGCGAATGATCAAGAAACCGACATTTTGTGAAAGATTATAGAAATTTTGAAGGCGCGCCAGATCTTAATAATGTTCGATGGAGCACATTTGCATTTTTTTTCTGGACTCTTCAGTCCAAGAAGCCATGGGCGCCGCAAAGAGAAAGAGAGTATGGGCGCAATGTTGTGTACCCCCTCCCACCTGTTTTCTGTTTGTTGCACCCGTGGTCTAGTGGTTAGCGCTGCCGTTTTGGAAATTTTCATCACGGGTTCGAATCCCATCGGGGTCAAATGTCTTTTTTCTTTTTTTTTAAACCAGAAAAGTTTCCAGAATCTGCACCCACGTCCGTCGTGGCGATTTCCAATACGATGGTGTCCACCAACCGTCCGATGCCACGTTCACTCGAGCCGCCACCGATTTTTTGGTGGATTCGTATCAACGAAACCGGGAAAAGCGGGTTACTGTAGTGGTGTTGGGGAATGATATCAACTTTGCGCATACTGTATTCGAAGGTAGGTTGACGCATTTCTTGATGCTTGACGCAATTATCGATACTTGACGCAATTCTCGATCCTTCTATTCCAGATAAAACCGACAACTACACCTACATCAAGAAGCCAAATGGCACTGCTTATAACTACAGTATCCCCACAGTCTCGCCGAAGTATACGGTAGGAATCTTCAAGGCGCATAGAGAAATCCCAAATTTTTTTTCAAATTTTTCAGACCGTCCTGACACCAACCCTAACCCCGGAAATCGATTTGGCATTTTCTAGACTGTTTTGTGATGTGACCCTGATTACAGGTAAGTGGTTACGGTAGTGAGAAGGCACAGTAAAGTTTGCAGCTCCATCGTCTACTTTTGGATGGTGGTTGTCTTATTTGGCGAAAAGGAACGCCAAGACGTACTACAGGGATATTGTGGAGTCAAAGGATGGGGTAAGTGATAGGGTCGGGAAAAAAATTTTTCTGAATTTTTCCCCGATTTTTTCTTGAAATAAGTTTTTTCATTGTTTCTCAGGATTGGTTTTTCAAAAATTCGGAAAATTCCGGGAAACAATTTTCCCGTTTTTTCCAGAACTAATTTTCTGAAAAATAGGAAATTCCAGGAAAATTTTCCGGACTTTTTTTCGGAAAACGGCACGGTAAATTTTTTCGTACGTACAATTTTTTTCTCGGCTTCTACGCTCCATCCCACACGGACTTTTACAAATTTCATTTTGCGTCTTTAAAATCTGACAGTAAGCCGCGCTTAAGCCGAAGGAGCGCGCACCATGTTTCCAGAGCACATTTCAACAAAAACTTTCGATCAAATTCTGTCCGTTTCAAAATGTCCGGTTTCAAAATGTCCGGTTTCAAAACGCAATAAAAAATTTGTTGAATTTCCCTTTTCCCGGAAAAAAATTCCGTAAAACGGTTTTCAGTATGTTTATTTGAACATTCCTGCACGGTAATTTTTTTTTAAAGGAAAAATTTTTTTTAGACCCTGATTTTTAATTTTTGAACAAAATGAGAAAAATGCCTACGTAATGCTGAGTCGCCACGCAGTTAGCATGCGACCCTACAGTAAGACAGAGCCCGTGAATGAAACCTTTTGAAAACACGTACGAAAAAATTCACTGTAAAACGGGAATCCCGTAAAAATTTCCAAGACAACTTTTTCGAAAAACCATAAATTTTCCGAAAAAAATTCCGATTTTTTTTCGGAAAATTGTTCGTAGAACATTTTTTTTTGAAAAAAAAAGTCGGAAAAAAGCCGGAAAATCCGACTTTCCGTTTCCCGATTTTCCGACCTGGTTACTGTACTCCTAACCAACCGTACTCCTTCCAGGTCCTTCACGAAATGCGTCAAGAGGACTTCTACCCACCATCCTGGACAAAACTATGGACAGATCCGTCTGGAAGTATCCGAAAGTCATAATTTTTTAAACTAATTTTTGTAGAATTTGTTAAATTTCAGTTACGGGTCAAAAAACTCATTGTGTTCAAATAATAAACTTTTTCCCATTTTCATTTTCTAGTTTCCCACGTTTCGCCACGTGTTACCATGATTTTTCAGAGGTCCAGTTTTTCGAGAGTTCATTTTCTTAAAATAAACTGACAACACAAAACCAAATGAGTTCGATTACCAAAAGCACCAATGTAGTACACGATGAGAGCTCTTACGAAATGGTAAGTCCCGTAAATCGGCACAGGGTTCGTGAACCGACAAAACGCCAGTAAATCTAAGCCTAGTCCGTTTATCGACATAGGATCCGAACCAGAATTACTTCTAATAAGAACCAAAAATCTAAGCTGAACCGGCCTGTTTGACCCGTGGCCTAAACGGTCAAAATCGGCCCAAATTGTTCCGAACGGCCTCGTCAGGTCTAAACGGTCTGAAACAAGCCAATTTGAGCCTATCGGTTTGTTTTGGGCCCTTTTTAAAAGGCCGATTCGGGCTGTTTTGGGCCAAGCTGCCTAAAACGGCCTAACTCGGTCCAACCGGCCTGATCTGGTCCAAACGGCCAAACGCGGCCCACCTTTAGCCCGAACGGAGCGATTTGGGCTATCTTGGGCCAAGCGGGCATATCCAGGTCATTTCAGGCCAAACGGGCCGATCATGATCATTTCAGACCAAACGGGCCGATCCGGGCCGATTCGGGAGTTTTTTGCGAAAGGGGTCGATTCGTGCTATTTTGAGCGAAACGATCTGAAACGGCCCAAATCGGCCCGACCGGCCTGATTTGGTCGAAATGGCCTACAACGGCACAAGTTTGGCCAAACGGGCTGATTTGGGCCACTTTCTTCGAAGGAGGAGACGTTTCGGGCTATTTCAGGGGGCATTTCGAGTCATTTTGGGCCAAACGGGCCAAATCGGGCCATTTCAGGCCGAACCGGCCGAATTGGGTCATTGGGGTCAAACAGGCCGATCTAGGCCATTTCAGGCGAAACGGGGCTACTTGGACCGATTCGGGTCACTTTTTGAGAAAAGGGCCGATTTGGGCCACTTCTTGAGAAAGAGGCCGATTCGGGATATTTTTTGCGAAAGGGGCCAATTTGGGTCAAACAGGCCGATTCATGCCGATTCTGGTCGCTTTTTTTCAAACGGGCTGTTTTGAGTCATTGCAGGAAAAGCGGGCCGGCCCAGTCCATTTCAGGCTAAATGGGCCGATCCAGAACATTTCAGGCCAAATGGGTTGTCTTGGAATATTGTGGGCCAAACGGCCTAAAACGGCCTAAATCGGCATGAAACGGCCCAAACTCAATGTCGGGCCAAACGGGCCGATTTAGGCCGTCATGGCAGATTTAGGCCGCTTGGACCGATTTGGGCCAATTCGGGCCAATTCAGACTAATCAGGCCAATAAACTTTCATTACAGACATCAATAATATTCTCATCAATAATGATATTTCTCTCACTTCTCATCATCCTCCTTAACTGGCGTTTGTCGCGACGGGTCTTGGCACGAAAAAAGCATACGACAGTCCGAAAACTCCGAAAAATACTGATAAAAGGGCGGTCGGCGGTGAAAACTGGAATGCTCACCCCAATAGAAACGGTGATTCTGGCACTGGAGGCCGGAATGACACTGGAGGATGTTCGATTGGAATATGTGAATGCAAATGGGACACGCGAAGAGATTTTGGAGTGGGTTTTCACGGTCATTTTGAGCAAGCGCGCTCTGTTGAGAATGTATAGATTTTTGGCGGCAATTTGAAAATTCTAGTGAAATTTCGTACTTTTTTGACAAAAATAAGAATATTTAGCGTGAAGTAATCATTTTCATCGAAAAAAAATATTTGATTTTTTTCAGCAAATATTGATCTCGAATTGATAAAAAAAAATTGATTTTCCCAAAAAAATTACAAAAATCGATAAAAACTGACTTTTTTCTGAAATATTAAGCTACGTATCGCTGCGGTGCAGCGAAATTCGAACCGCCGCGCAAATTCAATGGAGCGCACTTGCTCAAAATGAAAACTGCTGGAAAATTTGAAAAAAATGAATAATTGACCAAAAACAATTCAATTTTCCGAAAAAAAAACACCGAAAATCTATTAAAAAACGAGTTTTTTCCGAAATATTAAGCTACGTATCGCTTCATCATATGCGGCGCAACGAAATTTGAATCGCCGCGGAATTTCGCAATTTCAATGGAGCACACTTGCTTAACTGGCAGTTTTTTCATGAAAAATCAATAAATTACAGAAGTGTATTCGGACCACTGGCCGACAACAAATTCTTTGCCCGTCTGGTGTCCTCCAGTCGATTCATGGAGACTGGATACGCGAATGAGAAGGTGTTTCTGGATTTGTGGAAGAGTGAAAGTTATCGAGAGCTCGTTTTTACGGTAAGGATTTTTGGTTTTTTTTAAACAAAAAAATTTCGTAAAATTTTTTTTTTTTTGGAATTTTTTGGGACGAAATAGTTGGAAAAAATCGGAAAAGTGTTTTTTTTTTCGGATCTTTTCCGATGAAAAATGGATAAAAAGAGAAAAAACATGGAAAACATTTTCAAAAATCAATTTTTCAAATTTTGTCCACGCAGACTACACGAGCCGAATTTTCTAGGCCAGCATTTTAGGCGGTAGTTTGAAAAAACAATAGGTCCTTTTTTTTCGGATTTTTAGCTTGATTTTTCGGTTCCAGAATCGGGAAAAGTTTTCCGGAAAGTGACCGGAAAATTTTTTTTTCGGAATTTTTTGGAGCGAAAAACCGAAAAAAATTTAGAAAAATGTTTCGAAATTTTTTCATCGATGTTTTTTGATGAAAAATGGATGAAAAGCCGATAAAAACATTGAAAAACATTTTCTTTTCAAATTGAACGAAAGTGTTGTCCACGCAGACTACACGAGCGAAGTTTTCTAGGCCAGAATTTTGCGCGGTAGTTTGAAAAAAATACAAATCACCGCTTTTTTTCGAATTTATTTTTGATTTTTCAGCAAAAAGCATTTTTTCGGTTCCAAAATGGAGAAAAATTTTCAGAAAATGACCGAAAAAAATTATTTGCGCGCGGGATTTTCCCTCATTTTCTCTGCGTCTCGCTCACCTCCCCCTCTTCCCCCCCCCCCCTTCGGATTTATCATTGCCTCCCCTCCTCTCCCCCTCAGTGTACCTTTAGCGCAGTGGATAACACTTTTGCCCTCCAATCCAAGACCCCCGGGTTCAATTCCACCCAGCACCAAAACTTTTTGTTTTTTCCCCTCCATCATTTTTTCAGACCCAACGGGCCGAATGTCCGACCCAAACGTTCCTCCCATCGACTGCAGCGGCTGTCGATCCCCTTCTTACCAGTAACAACAACAAC